TCGCCTAATCTTGATGTTCGTGATTCCAATCAATTTGCTTATTTTAAGCGTCGCTCTACTTTAGATGCGGTTCCTTGTCCTATTTATTCTCTTTTATCCACTATAGACGAAGAACACAAAATTGTTCGTTTGTTTCTTGGACTACACAAACGCGTTTAACTCTGTCGACAGGAACATCCTATGGACACTGCTACCGCAAAATAATCTTTCGTCACATTTTTTGAATTGGATTCACGACCGACGCCAATTAACTGGTCTCAATGGTACTGTTACTGTAAACCAGGGTGTAGTGCAGGGAGCAATTTTATCCCCTTTTCTATTCTCCTTTTATATCCAAAATTTGCCAGTCACCTCAAATGTTTTTACTATCAAATATGCCGATGATATATTAGTTGGGGGTGCATCTCACAACAACCCTCCAACTAACACACTTCAATCAACCATAAATTCCATTTCTGAATGGTCCGATAGTGTTAACCTTTCTTTAAACCCCAATAAATGCATTGAAGTTTCGTTTTCCATTGATCGTAGACCATCGACTCTTTCTGGATCATCTATTCCCAATATCTTGATCAATAAATTAAAAGTTGAAAGGTCAAAACACTTCAAATATCTTGGTTGTTTCGTGTCTGCTGACCTCAGTGTTCCTACCACGTAGAACAAACATTTCTTAGTCATAAAGTTGACCTTTTATATTTCACGCCTTTAGTATCTAAAGGTGCCATTACACATCATCTCCAAATTTATTTTCTCATGCGTTTTATGCCATTGGACTGACTGCTCTCCCGTTATCTTTCCCGGTCTACTGTCTAAGGATTTCATATTGATTAGACGCTCTCTGAAAAGCATCTCTAAATTGTATCTTATGAGGAGCTGGTTGGTTCAATTGTCAATCAACACCTGAATGCGTGTGACTGTGTGTGACTCCATCTTGTCCGATGCGTCACATCCCTTACATACAGTTCTATCTAGCTTCATTTTAACTTTTGCAACCCGTAATAAGTTTACACTTTTATATACTCGTACCATTGCTTTTTATAACTCCGTTATACCTTACCTTTCACGTTTGTTGGTTTCTAGGGGGCGAATGTCAAACGAACTCATACACAGTCTGATGTAAATTTCCACGTTCACATTCTCCTTATTTGTTTACGCGTTCTCGGTGTCCGATTCATTATCATCTCAGTAACTGTTTGTCATATCTTAAAGCTCATTTTTGATAGCCATGCCAAAGCAAAAACGATAACATTCTTTACACTGAAAATTCTATTCACATTGGATGAATAAAGTGCACTCTTCAGTTGACTTAAGCATGTTAGGTTTGGATGAAACCATTGGTATTTCTGCAGACACCAGATGTGTTGTAATTTCCTAATGTGCCATACCATTATTATATGACGGCTGACAAAGATCATTGAACAGCTGTTTCGTTTTTGTTAGGGCTTTTCAGTAGGGTGTATCCTGTATGCTCCCGCAGGATCCGAACCGCGAATCTTCAGGTTAGGAGTGGAAACTCATATCCTCGAGACACAGTGGAGGGGTCTCGTGGGGAAATATTTTTCTGATCATAGGCTTCAACCAGACAAAAAGAAATATTCAGGAGAATTCAAGATTTAAAAGTTCACCCAATTCGAGTTTTGGATGTCCGGATTGCTTGACCGAGTGACCGAATCGCTTGGATCACTGGGCAATCCATGGCCACATGAACCCAACGGCATTCGACCTTAATCAGTACAATAAGGTAAACTGTGACAGTATGGGTGGATCGATAATCTAACCATTTCCATAAAGCTTGCCAAATGGATAATAAAGATTCAAGTCACACATGGCCTGGAACGGAGAAGTTTCGATTTGCTGAGGCTCGTATATATCTCAAGTATCCAAACCTGATTAGCTGTTTGTGAAGTCATTGATCACCGTCGAAACCGAGCCGAGTAGACATCAGTTTTACCGGAAAGAGCTTGTCTGAGTTCCCCACATTGGAATGTTGGAGAACACAAACCAAGTGAGAATTGAGACGACCACAATGCAGAGGGGTGAGCCATCAGCCAATCGAAAACTTCCATCAGCACGCTTCCTATGACGTGACTAACGGTAGCACTAAAAGCAGGCTGCTTCAACATAGCTTCATTGATTTTCTGTTGGCTGGAAGAGATCTATGAGTGACGATTCGACTAGCTCTTGCTGCGCTCCTGGGACTGTTGTGAACGCAACTATAGGAGAACGCAGTGAGCCGATAATTCATTTAATTGGCACGATCGATCTCTACAATCGGTACACGAGTACATTCATGGGCATCTTCGTACGTAGAGCGGTAGACAGAACAGTAAGCGCAGACGCTACACGCTATTTGGTTACGGTTGAGCTAGCAACAAAAACCCGTATGCGGGAGTTCACTAATGAATTCTAGGGCTGCAGCAAATCGATCTTTTGACAGTACGTCCGTGTGAAGTGCATGCGTGCGTCTGGTAGAAGTTCGTTTCGGTCAATCAATCGATAATCCTATAATCATGAGCGGAATACGTTCCACTCGATGATAGGAACAACATAGAACCACGGTTTCACACGAGAGAACATGTTTTATGTGGGGTGTATCTAACCCTCATACGGCTATCATCCGACCGACCGACCATGGAATGAACACTGAGAGACATTTCAGAGAGTAAGTGTAAGATTTTTAATCCGAGGGAGGGGGCATATCTAAGCAAAGAATTAAATATTTTCAATCAATCATTAAAACACGACGAGTTTTAGAGCAGTACTAGGACCCACGAAAACAACTTGCTGTTCTTTGGTGTGCACATTTTATCACTAATGTCCATAACTGTTGTTTTAAACGTCAACAACACGGTCACGCCTGAGAATCAGGTACGGTACGAAGCGTTTTTTACCCGTTGCACATTCTACGCAAATTTTCAGTACTGGGCGGTAGAGTCATTTGCGACGCCATCCACCACGAAAATGGATGAACTAACATTACAGTCGTCAGACGTAGATGTTCATTTTCACTACTAGGTTTTGGTTATATGAAACTATAGGAAATCTTTGGAAAGCTAATACACATCCTGCTGGAATTGGCTGTTTCCGTGCATGGAGTCACATTTAAAATAGTCGTGCGTGTGGGTCAGTAGTTACGGTACAATATGAAATCCAAGTTTTTCTCGTTAATTTTATGTTGCAAAGTCCTACCAATAACACGTTCGCGACAAAGCTATTGTTCTTCCAAGTCCGTCCGTCATCTTTCATCAGTAGAACAAACAACCTTCGAAGGAGGGGGCCATGAAAGATCTCAGGCATACTTTGGCATCAAGTCATACGTGCCCATGATCAAATAAATATGCCAGTGTTTTCCCCTTCCCCGGGTGATCAGCCCTGATTGTAGCACATTATTGCAGTTGGTGGTCGAGGTTAAAAGAATACGTTTAACTACTAATCGAAANACAACATAAGTTTCTGCCGAAATCAGAGAGGAAATGAAGCTCCGCGGGTTAGGGCGCAGATGTTGAACATAGAAGAATTACTGATGGCAAACAACCACATTCTCACCCAGATAAATAACACACCCATCCCATAATGGGATCCTGAGTGGCTGGAACCTCCAAGTCTCAAAGTTTAACCCATTGGTTTACATGACCTACTTGACTCTAGGGCATATTCATTCCAAAGCAGACCGATAATTGTGTGAATAACTCCTATTAAGCCGAGGTAGTGTGTGCTGGCGTCCCGACCCATTAGGCGAATTATCATGTTGTTTGCCATGCATGGCTGGTAAATACTGACCAGACCAACGTCTTTAGCTCATCAGTCCCGTTCACACAAATTGCGTGCTTCGTAAACAGGAACAATGGCAAATACGCACCACTTCGTGCCCTAACAGATTAGTAAAGCAGCAAAGCGCATACTAACGGTATCATTCGGGCAAAAACCGCAGAGACAAAGCTTTTATCGCGCAGTATCTAAACCGTAAAAGAAAACGAAATAAACAATTATAAAACGATTTTATTTAATAATTGAATCAGAGGACCGGTTCATAAAACACGGAACAATTAGGAATTCTTCTGTGAGATTGGCATTGTGACAATCTTGGTTTGCATGTAGCACTTGACACCTTCCTCGCCCCTTGAAATAAGTGCAAAGGAACAGACGGTAGAAAAGATCGGTCAGAAGAAAATACATGGTGAAGTTCACGAAACATTTGACTGACAGCTAACGTTCGGCACAAAAACCTCTTCGGTTTTCGAACCACACACTCTAGATTCCCGTACAAGAATGCTTTATTAATGAAATGATCGCCCATCACCTTGAGGTTTCACGAAAAAAAAATTCACTCAGCGGTCAAAGTAGGAAACCCATGAACTTATCGTGAGATGGTATATGCATGCCGCGGAATGGTTGATGACAACTTTTGCGTGTTTCGCGGACAGACGAAACGACCAAAAGACTAGCATCTCTAAAATATCCCTCCCAAAGACAAACTAATCATATGAGTAACATTTCTCGAAGAGAGCCGTGAAACATCATCGTATACTATCTCATGTAATGCCTGCTCACCCTTGTAATGGAGATCTTCGTGTAATTCCAAGTCCGAGACAGTCGAGCATTCAGGTATTGAGGAATCAGTGACAATGGCGCATCAGCCAAACACTGATCTTATACAGTATTCTCATTTTGCATATTTCTCTCGGTAACAATCTCAATCTTTAATTTCACTTCACCCGGGAACCAAATAGGTTGTTGTAGGACAGCAAACAAAACTTTAACAGTACATTGCGTGACCAATGTATGCACAAATCGGTACTTAAATTGATCCCTTATTTAGCTCAACATGGCTGAGTACGGTGGGACTTTGGGTGACTCAAGAGGAATCCACTTATCTTAAAAATGAACAAAACCATTTGATGGTATCCATTCGGTCATCCTAACAAAGTTAACAACAACAAAATAAACAAGCGACACTGGATATTCAAGATACACGAGGAAAAACGGAATTCAAAAGCGACTCACAGCTCTTTTCCAATACCGGACATCTTGTAACCACCGAATGGCGTTTGAGCGGCGGCCAAATTGTAACAGTTGATCCTATAAAACAACACGTCAATGAGAATAGGACGGTCGTTCGAGTAATCTGCAAACATTCACTTTGAGAAAAACACAATTCACACACAATTCTGCTGCTTTATAGTTCTGAGGTAACTAATGCGACATGAGGCTCTTTTCATAGCAAGTGCTCAATACGACAGTGTATGCACAAGGCACATGGAAACCAATCACACACAAACTGTTCAGTACATAACACGGACGCACCAGAAACTACCCGCCTCAATCACTTGCGACAAACGCATCGCTTTGTCCATATCCGAGGTGAACACACCAGCACCAAGCCCGTAGTGGGTGGCATTCGCACGCTCAACTACCTCTTCAAATGTATCAAACCGTAAGATCGATTGAACTGGACCGAAGATCTCTTCCTTGGCAATGGTCATCTCATCAGTCACATCAGCAAACACTGTTGGTCGGATAAAGTAACCTTTCTGTCCGATACGGTCACCGCCAGTAACCAGACGAGCACCCTCTTTTTTGCCCGACTCAATGTATGACATCACTCGTTTGAACTGGACGTCATCCACCTGATGAAAAATAGTGCAGTTAGGTGTGATGTCAGATTGGTCATGTAAAAGAACACAAGATTCCACTCATGATGAGAAGTAAAAATGAGACTGAGCTCCATCAGGATCATAAGCACAGAATATACGTGTAATAGTGCCAGGGGTGATTCACTTTATTTTCCCCTTCATCACATCAACTATCAGCTCTACATGGACCGGTGTGGATCGAATTTGCAAGACCTGACTCTCAACACAGTAATATATCTCAGATACATTACCAGGCTTGCATATCGATAGCCACAGTCCGAACTCTACATCTCAGGGCTGCCGCCTTATTTCTATTGTAGCACTGTTGGAATTGGTACGACCTTGGCTATCACGACAAAATCGGAGTAAGTTCAGAAGTGAAAGGCCAAAACAATAAAATATTTTGAGTTGCAGCACACAAGTTTTTCCTTTCATTAGGATGTTTATTATGATCAATTGAAGTCTTCTACATAGCATATATTTTCTCATACCAGGCAAAGTAGAAAAATTACCGAAAAATGACACGTAAAATCTCTACATAAAGAAAGTAAAGATACCAACAAAAAACGTCAGTTGGCCTTCAAAAATTAACCTTTAGGTATGTGGCTCGTTGAATTACTGATCAGCAATGTCACTATGGCCAAATCGAATAAATACAACTAAGAGTTTTTGGTATACAAGTGAAGCAGCGCGGCACATAGCACTCATCTCTACTTCTGACTTGAGCAACTGCTTCCATGTATACACGAACGCAGTTTATCGTATGATGAAGGAAATTTCTCCGACAAGACTGTCTTGTGCAAGAAAAAATCGACCACATCAAAGCAAGATGATCAAATACCGGTGCATCTGGAAAAACCTGCATACAACCCGGATCGAACATAATCCGGAGGATCTACCGCAATTCTTGCATGTCATCGATGGTAAAACGATGCCCAATTTGAATAGCAGCGGGTATCAACCTATGCGAGACGGTTGTTGATGATCAAACAAAGGAGAGTATGCATCGATTTGATCATCAAATTCAAACCGCGTCAACCGGCCTTCCGGCGTCCCGTTTACTTTACTGGAGAATGTATGGTGGTTGACGAGCAAGACACCAAGTGTAGAAAGATCACCTATGAACCTAGTTTTCCAAAGAAAAATCACTATCACCGTTCAAAAGAAGTAAACACCCGTTCCGTCTAATGAGTTTAATAGAAATTAAATAAAAAGTGTCTTAATATTGGGCTTCTGCACCCTGGATAGTGCTAATTTTGTTGGAATGGTTGAGCAGCGTTTCGGTGACTACGACTCAAGCAACGCATTCGGAAAAGTCATCCGATTAATAGAAGCAACAACGTATATATAGATATGGTGTAATCGGTGTGGGGTATTACTATATGCGTTGATGTAAATGAAGCTCAAAAAGGCAGACATTTGCTGAAAGTCGGTGTTGCGAGATTGCGAAACGAATACATATATANATACTATTTAACTATCCACCCTACATGGGCTTGTACCTTTTGTGTGCATTGTGACACTAGTGGCGATCAGCATACCAGAAAACCAAATGATTGTTGGTCGCACATGTTCAGTTTAGTTTAATGGTTGTAAGAACTGAATTGAACATGTAATCAGTTCCCTCGTCAACTTAAAATTCCATTTACTTTCATCTGCTTTTGACCTATTGTTCTTAATCTGGTTGCACACATTTGTGTGACAAAAAGGAGATGGGGTGAACCCTATATTGGCGCAGATCTGCTGTTACGTCATGGAATCCGGAAGCCTAAGCTCCGGGCCTTGCATTGGCAAACCACATAAGGCCCGCTAGGTTAGGTGTGGTACTGAACTGGACGACAGCAAAGCTACCTATCACTAAAGTAGGGTGGCTGCGTCAGGGTTCGAACCTCGGACGATAGGGTCCAAAGAACGCCGGTGACAGCGGCCAAACCACTGTCACACACGCTTACATAACCATTATTAGAGAAATATGGAGTTTTTTTAAGTCTAATATCTACAGAAAAATATAAGGTCCAAACTCTCTAGAGAAAGTAACCAAATTTGAAACGTTTTCCAGAAAGGACTATCAGTTACACACGTCGAGGTGAACGAAAAATACGAACTGTGATTCACTCTCCGGATTCAGTGGTCTCAAGCGTATGATGAAGTTTGAATTGCTAGACTGAACATATTGGACCTGAGATGAAACAACGTACTTGAGGACCTTGCACAGTGTCCCCGGCAAATGGATCGCCAACTTTCCGAGCCTCAGCCAATTCCTTCAAGCGCTGAACCATCTTGTCGTAGATTGGACCCTCCACAAACGTTCGACTACCCGCAACACAACATTGTCCGTGGTTGACCATCGTTGCTTCATGTGCAGCTTGTGCAGCTGCCTCGACTGAAATAAAACCGCGGTAAAGATGACGTTAGCTTTGCTTTTCCAATAATTCGATTGACTTCGAAAACAGGATTAAAACAAAATTACTAATGCAAATATATTTTTAGAATTGCACGTAAAAGAAGTGTATATCAAATTCAGCGGATGGAGTTGATTTATTATGTATGATTCGCAGTGTCTGCACCGAACGTATGTTGACCACACTGTTATCCGAAGGATCCGATTACAATCGCCATAAACTCGGTCAGTGCTCAGGCGTACAGAAAAATCAATACCGAGGAATGTAATAACAGCAGCCAGGAACGTTTCGGCTGTTGTTCAACCAAGGCAAATGAGATCATTACAAGCGATCATACGCAAACGTCTGTTGTACCTATTCGCAATTCGATGGAGCATGGAGCTGAGCAAACAAAATACGAGTGTCTATAAACTCAAAGTTAGAGAATAGCAATATCCTGAATGAGTAGTATCACTGAACACGCACTTGTCAACAGTGGGTATTGATTCTGAAACGATACGCATCTAAAGATTACACACCCAGGTTCTTCGAATTCACAAGATAATTAGAATGAGGACTACAGGTACCATCAGAGAAATGAACACATTCGACAATTGCGATCAAGCAGTCCTGAGTTCTTTCGTGTGCTGGTCCGGATTGCCGTCTTTTGACTCCCCATTTATATGAACTAGTAGAGGGGAGAATTAGAATGCAGAAAGTAGGACCAAAGTGAAGATAGTGAATTCAGATCTGTTTTCAACGATGTTGAGTAGATGCACAAGTGATATTCTTTATCACAATGAGTTTTTCTAGCCATCGATTGCACTGGTATTGAGGTCCCAATCAAGGAAGTCCTGTATGACCGGGTCCCCTAGTCAGGGCTTTCATACCCTTAAGTCAAGTCTTACGTTGACGGCTGTTACTCTTCCTTCAACTCATTTCCAGCCTTGGGAAACATCGCAAGTCGAAGGAGCCTATCCAGTGGCAAACGAACAAACAGCATCTCGTACGATCACTGGAGAATTATATAGATACACTGAAGTTTTCATGCTAGTTTCTTTATTTAGCGAGTTGTCGCTACATTATGAATTCAAAGAGAACACATCCCCGGAACAAAATTGTCATTCAGACCTGTTTGACAGCTATACAAACAGTTGCCGGATGACAACTCTCTNCTCTCTCCGTGATATTTTGAGAAAATAAAAAGCTTCCACTTGATACTTGTCCTGGTATTTAGTGGATAACAACTAGTCAGAATTTCTACAAGAAACTTCAACAACAACATTGTAACTGGTGAATAGCGGGCACTGTGAACAAACTGTAAGTAACCGGACGACTTACAGTCCGCATCAGCAAAGATGATAAGAGGAGATTTTCCGCCCAGTTCCAACTTCACGTGTTTCACATTGGACGCTGCAGCTTTCATGATGAGCTGGCCGACTTCTGTACTCCCCGTGAAGGAGATGACACGAACATCTGGATGCAGACACAAAGCAGCGCCGGTAGTCTCACCGNGGTAGAATATTCACTACGCCTGGTGGGAAGCCTAGATGAAAAACAATCAACATGTATCATTTTATTTTCGAACGCAGTGTTGAGCTGCTGTTTGCAAAACAAATACAAAATATACACAAACATGGAGGTCGATGAGGGAAAGCCAAGCTCCAGTTCGATTTCGCATTGTGCACACAGTCACACACTACCCCTTTCTGCAACGCTTTCGTCCTTAATGGGTTGGCCTCTTACGGCGACCAGCGAGATTGGCGAAAACAATGTCTTTAAAACTCACTCTATGTATGTTGTTGATGCTTCGATAGCCAGGCAAGGACTTCATACACAATCCAACTTAAAGAGAAGAATCGAATTTCATTTAAAACTAAGCCAATTATGCTGCAAATTTCCTAACGTGAGTAACAAGAGACCGACTTCCATGCTTGAAGAGGCTATGTGCACAAAAGTTTGAAGCTTTGAAATCATATTCCCGAATTTGAGAACAGGCGCATTCACATTTTCGTAGATATGAACAAGATCTAATAGCGTGTGTAAGCAAAACATCAAACTGTACGTTGTTCCGATCGCACCAGCGATGTGCCATTTTTAATTTTATCTACAAGTTTTTCTTGACAGTTGCATTTACATTTGATCACACAAACTCAGTTCTTGTTACTAAGCTAAATCTGTTCTCAGGTCTCTTGGTTTCAAAATTATTTCCTCTCAGTCTGATAATTTGTCTGTGGACCGAGCACCGTTGCTTGCCTTTCGATTATCACCTATGAAACATCAATTTGGAAGTTTACTAGTTTCATTCTTATGCAGCTAAAAAATTGACTGGCGTTCGTTTGTTTATTCGTTTTTATTCATGATCAATTGGAGTGGCGCGACAGTAGCTAGACTGTGGTGACCTATGTCTAGCTCTAACCACTTACGTGCAAATCGATTACAGAGAAGACTGATTCAGATTCAAAACGGGATACACCATCTTGTCCCCACTTCCGTCCAACTATTCCTTCTTTTGTTGTGACCTATTCTGTCATCTCTCGCTTTATGAGAGCACTGTTTTATCAAATGTGCTCTTTGGTTCCTACCCTCAGAATCACACTTCATGACCCTGTCGGTTGAGATGGCTCTATCAAAAACAACAGATTGGCTGCGTACTTTAAATTTCTAACATTTATAGTACGGTAGATGAAATGAAACCGGCAATATCAATATCAAGTACAGTGGCGCTAAACAATCTGACATCCACCATTGTCCGGCTCCTATGACTTGAGGACACTGTCGCTTCGGTCCCAGACCAAAGGACTGCAGGGAGACAAACCACGTCTTATGACCAAAGAGAACATATCTGAGGGGTGTGCATTATTTTATCGAAGCAACTGAGACTTGATAAACTCACCAGCTTCACGGACGAGACTGCCCAAATAAATAGTAGACAATGGAGTCTGCTCGGCTGGTTTCAGAACTAATGTGCAACCTGCACACAAACTGGGAGCCAGTTTTAAAACGCCTAGGAAGAACGGATAGTTCCACGGGGTGATTCCCACTACAACCCCGGCAGGCTCCTGACGGGTAAAAGTGACCACTGGTCCATCGGCTGGCAGAAGTTTTCCATTGATTTTGTCCGCATAACCAGCGTAGTAGCGAGTTACCTGAACCGCAAATCCCACATCGCCCAAAGCGGAATGAACAGCTTTCCCGTTGTCTAGAGCCTCTAAACGCTACAAGAAACAAAAGCAGAGTGGTTATTGTTGCATAACGGCAGACAAATGGCATTTGATGGAACCTACCGGGTTTGTTCAACCAGTGCAAAATCTCTAATCGCTTTCAATCACACACGAAGGGTTGGTCACACAAATTTAAACGCAATGATTTATTGCTCTTCCAATAAAACTAAGTCCTTTTTGTGATCGTGTCGACTTTGGCCTGAAATAGACCATTAGTATAGAAAACGAATACTGTAAAACGTGAGAAAGTAAAGCAAACTGCGCTGTCGTCTTGCTGCCTCGACTTCGCTGAGATTCATGACATTAAGGAACAATGAAACCTTAAACAGGTCGCTGATTTACAATATGCATTTAGAGAGCCCGCTACTGCGTTTCAGGTATGCTCTACTCATACTCACAATGAGTGAAAACCTGGATCGGTTCGAATAAAATTTCACGAGAAAGATTTGAATCCAAACGCATCCTCATAAAAGTGTTCATCATAGACTCAATTGTTTTGATCTGTTCCCGTAGCTCAGATATTTTCCCGTGTTGGCTCACGATCCAAACGTCCACCCGCAGCATGCCTTTCGAGAAGTCAAAGTCACGGATATCGCTTTTCCAAACAGGACATCGAACATCGAGCTTCACTGTCCATAGTCGCACCATTTTGGTTTCAAGAGCATCCCGCATAATGTTTCACACTGATCATCGCAGTTCCTACTAATTTCTGTGATTCTTCAGATACCAAACTTGGAAAAATGAAAAGAATCAGCACAACTTCCCCACACTACTCGAATTAATATAACAGACTTGATAGCTGGTTTGGTTGAAATGACAATAAGGGAACGAGTTATTCCAGTTTTTTAACTGCACAGCCAGCATATACAAACGAAACAAACGCGGGACGAGCATGGATTGATAGTGAATTTGTTGGCCACTGCTAACTCACCGCAATATAATCCGCGTTCTTCTCAATCAAATCTGCCAGTTTATAGAGCAGACGACCTCGTGCAGATGCGTCCATTGTACGCCAAGCAGAACCGCGCCGGAAAGCAGCTTTGGCCGCTGCAACTGCCTTATTGATATCTGCATCACTAGGTTCGTGTACTTCACAAATCACTTCCTCGGTGGTCGGGTTGATAGTCTTGAACTTCTTTCCCGTAGAGCTGTTTACGTACTCGTTATTGATAAATAACTGAAAATGTGACAGAACAGCGCTGCGTGATATTCGTTGGTTTCTCACGATTACACGATTACAAACAAAACATTTGCATCCCACAAAGCATAGCGCCACACGAAGCCGAAACATAATCTTCACAATTAAAGGCAACCAATGGAAGAAAATTCATGCACCACAAGAAATAATCCATGGGACGCATATATTTCCGGCCCCGGGATGACTGCGACAAAAGCATAAATGACACCAAACGAACCTGCGTGAACTTCACCTCCGGCGGCGACATGGCGCGACACGGACAACGCTAGGACTAGCAATGTACGTGCAAATTTATGGCAGGTTGGTGGTCGTCGGTGATTGGTCGATCAGAGCCGACCAACCGCATTGGAGTGGTACAGACAGATGGCATATGACCTTGAAACCTAGACATTACAACGGTCGTTGGTTTGGCGCTAGCTATCGTGTCGCGTGATTCGATGTCCTGTTTTCGCAATTTTCATGTGGGCCAGTTGGTGCCGTTTTGAGACCAACGAGTTCATAAGTGTGAAACCTCTAGGATGATGCGATCGGCTTACATCTATGATTTTGAGATATTAAGCATTAGTCACTTCATATTCGAGTCGTCTGTTTTCCTTTCTCTTCAATGTCTCCAAGTTTGATACATGTTGGTGGGGAATTTCGCGCATTAAAGAGCACGGAAAAAACACCGGAAAGTTAAAATGACTCGTAAATGAATCAGCTTCTGTCACCCGAGGGCACTGCATGGCCCGTCAAAGCAAAACAGAATGGTCATTGTGCCAAAAATACAGATCACGCAAGTTTTCCGGAATCGGCCATTCACGATTGTCAGGCGACCAGTCGAGCCTCGTGTATAAAAGAGCATGATGGTTTCTCGGACCAACTGCTCAGATAGGTGACGTGAAATGAAGCACGCAGTCGCCGCTCCATTCGACATTTCTGTTCACAATCACACCCTGGATAGTGTATGTTGCAATTCAAGTTACGTCGAACGAGTCCAAAACTACAATAAATTGGTCAATGCAAAGAATTCAAGGCCGATTTGTCTGATCACACCTCTACTCCCAGCTCCGTTTTCAAATATAGTTAGGCAAGGTGAATTCAAATTCAAAATTTGAGATTTTATATGGAACAGAGGGTTTAATTATTGTTTCTCTGAATGATTCAGTTGTTAAACAATGTGCTAATTGTGTCCTGTGCATGTGGTGTGTTTTTCTATTTCATCGCCTAATCCATCCTACAGAACACAAACCACCATTTGTAATAGGCTGGACTCGAAGGCTTTGTCGAAGGGGTAGAGTCATTTATTGGTTTGCAATGTGCCCACGGTAACCGGTTCTCTTTATCATCACCTTTCAGCCAATTACAACCAACAGAACTTCACTGATCGCTATCACATTCACAATTTGAACTAAGTAAACTGGAATGCGTAAGGTGGATGGGGAGTGGGATTGTTTTGAGCAAAGCAAAAAAGTGTACCTCGATCGTCCAAACAGCGAATATCATGTCTAACGGTGTATACGGTACTCTTCATGTAGTTTTCCTTGATCAAGAAGGAAAACAAGAATGCCACTGCGGTCCGTTCTCGGCCATATTGTTCAATATCTCCAACGAATTGATTATAGAGTCTGTTGGACCCTCTCTCGGACGAAGAGAGACAGTTAATCTATTTATGTGCGTTTCTTCATGTCTCGACTCCACGTCATCTATTGGCTTCTATAGGATTTTTCTCAGCCGGCGTGGCAACTGGAATCAAGACGTGGCGCAATAGACGACAAACAGGTATGTGCGGTACGTAACCTAACCACCGAAGCCTACTCATTCCATTTGGTGTATTATTAAATTTACCACCGAAACTCACGGAAAGACACGACGGCTTTCTTTAAGGTTACATACCCTTCCGCTCCATCTTGCATGCCCTAAGAGTGCACTAATTATCGAAACCTCTAATCGATGGATATCTACTACACTCAAATCCAAGGTCGCGTAGTGCTAAAGCATAAAAAAACTGGCAAAATAGATTTAAATTTTAAATTTATATATATATATATGTGTGTGTGTGACACGACAGGATAACAGTAACGCTTAGACTGATCGACTTGTCACATGTACCGGTACACCAACCTACAGACTGGTTAAAGAATTGTGGAGAAGACTCAAACCTCTTATCGCCGGCTACGAACACTCCGTCAATAACGCCAAACAGTTCCTAGAAAAATTGAAGGACGTAAATATTGATGCAGATGAAATAATGATATCCTCCGACGTCACCGCGCTATTCACCTCCATCAACCTCGATCTGGCCAGAGAAACACTAAAGGAGCTTCTAGAAGAACGACAGATACACCAAACACTGGATAACAAATATATCTGCGAGCTGATGGACCTATGCCTACAAACATACTTCGAATTCGACGGTGAAATCTACGAACAGGTGAAAGGAACACCCATGGGTTCACCAATTTCCGGATTCATTGCTGAAGCCGTAATGCAAAAACTCGAAAGGACCATTCTACCACAATTACAGCCCAAGCTGTGGCTTAGATATGTAAATGACACATTCGTGATCCTGGAGCGATCGGAAGTGGACAGAACCTTCAACAGCATCAACAACATCTTCCCGGATATCAAGT